GAGTTCAGAAAACCCTTCGAAACAGGGCTTGACACACACACACACACCGGAAGTGAAAGCAATCAGTGGAGCAGGAACAAAAGCCCTAGCCTAGTTGCAGGGAGTGATCGCTAGATTGTACATTCTAGATCTACCTGTCCATGTTCTTTTTTCACGGCGACAAACTCTGGAGGCCTTCTTTGCTTGGCATCTGCTCCTGGTGGCTGGCAGCACAATCCATCCATTTGCACCGATGATGGCCCAGCTCCAGGGGCAAATTGGCTGCGCAGATGACGGTCTGCCATTTAAGTAAGTCTTAATGCTGTAAGTATCATCAAGCGTCCAAGCTGCGCAACATATCATTTTGCATTTGCCCAGGTGTGCTTTTGGCAAGGAGGTGCGCTTTTCTTGGGAATTGCTTCGAAGTGAAAGGGCCACACACTGCAAGTGGCGCATTGTGTTTGCTAGCTTGCTGATGAGCCCGAGTGAGGAATCCGTGGTGTGTGATTGTTTTGCATGATTTTGGTGTGTTGTTCGACCTATTCTTTGGGCCAAGGCGGCAGGAAGGTCGGCTGAAGCCTTGCACTTTCATCATTTCGAGCTACCAAGCTAGCCAGCCAACCAGCCCAAAACCATTTGACGCAAGCTGCAGCCAGACAGCACATGACAGCACCCAACCTGGCGCCCGCGACCTTCGACCATTAAACCAGGGAGGAGTCAGCCAAGTATTCATGTTTTCATAATTGTTTTAAACATACATTATATATATACAAATATATTATATAACTAACATTCCTTGGGAGTTTCCTTCAGGCCACTGACACCTACCAACCTTTTCAAATTGCTCATTATGGTATTTTATTTATGGTTATATAAAGGAGCACATGGCAGAGCGGTGAAGACAGAACGGCCTTGGTGGCGAAAAGACAGGTGTCTACTTCTCAAATGTGAGACTTATCGGAGGTTTGGAAGTCAGAGCGAGAACAACCCCTGCAGACGCGGAGTCTCTCAGAGAGGTCACAGATTGCTGGAGCTGAAGCCGCTCACATGAAGTCACAAATCGTAGCGGTAGCACTTGCAAAACACTAGCTTCTGAAGCGCTGGCAGTGGTATGAATGACAACCCCAGTTCTGTTGAGTAAAACTTGCACATGCAAAATCCTGCAAAGACTTATAAATATAAACAAATTGTCGGTTGGCTGATCGAGGTGCTTGGCTGGCCGGCTCATTCCTCAACCCAAAGTAGCACGCCAGCCCCCGAACCCCTCAGCTCCAAACCCTTCCAGTTCTGTCCCTCTGGAGGAGGTGCTGCTGCGCGGTGCAGCGGTGGCATGGGCCAGTTTCCATCCACAGTTGCGCGGAGAATTTGTCCTTGCCGAGAGCGAAAGGCCAGCCCACTGGGTCCACGATCTCCTTACATTCGGATCCCAAATGTGGTAGGACAACTCCGCTTTCCTTGGAAAAGCTCAGCTTTGCACGACGGACAGCCTGAGGAGCAGGAGGAGAGCGCCAGTGCCTTTATGTCCAACTTTAATATTGCAGCCATTTGTCAGCATGAGTTGAAAGAAGGTGAGATGGACGACGTCAAACAGTAACTGAGTAACAGTAACATTGACATACAGTATATATAATACCCGTTTAAAGGGAACGAGTAACATTGGTTGAAACGAGTTGTATCCCGGATAGAGGCACAAGTTGGAAGATGGAGACAGGGTCACAACATATATACAACATATAATGATATTTGTGACTGGAGGATGCGCGGATCTTACCTTGTATTTAAAAGCATGTTTTACCCTGCAGCACATCCTTGCTTATCCAAGGCGATCACCGCGACAACAAAAGTTGGACATCGCGAGCCACTGAAGATCCCAGTTGAAACGCCTGTCTGAACATGTTGGAACTCTTTGCGCACATGTCTGGGGGCGGTCAGCAAGATCGAGCGGAAGTGAGGGGCAGACCATATCCCGCACTTTCCAGGCTGCATGCCTGGCAAATGCCGAACGTGGAACAGGCGAGTTCGGAGAAGTCCTTGTTTACAGTGAACATCCACAAGACCACTGCACACTTCCGAGCTTGGAAGGCCTCCCACCAGTTCCCGACTTCGCGGGCGCGGGCGTCAACGCAGCTGCGCGCTGGACTTGCTTGCGGAAGCTCTTCAGGCTTTCAGGGCCTCTTTGCATTTCAATTGAAGAATTCTTCGACCGACTGGGACTGGGCCTTAGAGATATATAGCTGCACCCGGGAGAGATGTTTTTTCCTTCAAGTGGAGTAAGTTTTGGGGATTAACTCGAAAACATTCAAAAACGAGTTCAGGGCCTCTGCGCGTGCATCTCGCCAAAAACCATTTCGAAGGGAAGAAGAGACCTCCCAGCTACTTCCAAGGTAGAAGCAGCCTTAAACCCCTGCATCTAAAGAGCTAAAAGATTGGCCTGCACTGGAAGTGCAACGTGTTGCACAACTCCCCATACAGCTTTGAAGTTCTGTCGTGGCCTAATTAGAGGGTACAGCATGCATTTCCTTGAGCAAGCTTCTTTGGAGTTGAAACAGGATGAAACAGGTATATAATCATCCACCAAACGCTACCAAACATGACCCAACAAGATGATGGATTAAAGGATGCGTTGACGCACCCAACCAAAAAGTGATGACAACTTACGTCCCACACCCTCAATGTTTGACAAGGCAGTTTTGGTGATTAGAGTTGTTGTGGCTGTCCAGCCATCCGGTTATAATTCTTGCACTCCCTACCTCTAATGGCTGTTCTTTTTGCAGCATGGTAAGGGGCTCATATATTGGGACCGTTTTTTGACAAGTGTCCCTCCAACACCTGAGCACGCAATATTTTGCAGCGGATGATTTTTTGGGCGCACCCGAGGAGAAAAAACCAAAGCAGTGTTCAGGGTTCCGGTTGTATATATATATATATACAGGATTATTTCTGCCTCTCTTCTGAGAGGCCTAGCCTGGAGATTCTTCATGCAGCTGCAGCGCTGAGATGTGCTCAGACCTGTTGAACTTTCCGCTGGGTGAGTCAGAAAGATGTGAGAGAAGTTTGCTGCTTGTGAACTTGTGGTGTTGCTCTAATTGACCCTGCCACGGCAGCTGTGGAAACTGAGTGTTTCGACCCCAGGTCCCAGACTGAAGAGCGACATACTCGATCCAGCAGAGTGCTCAGTACAACCAAGTGATACGTGTGCTGTCTTTGGTGTTTGGGTCGGTAGGTGTGTTGGCATGTCGGCAGGCACACGAGATGTGCCACAAAATGGTGCACTATGCCGACAGCATGAGGTCCTTCACTGAAGTTGTTTCCAGGGCCAATGGCAGTGGAAACACCAAGTTTTCAAGCTGTGGCGTTGCCTGGCAATGCTTGCCCTGAGGACATCCATAATGAGGACCCCACAAGATGAAAGATGAGTTTCCTTGGCCATGTTGGCCTTTTAATTGTTGCGCCGAGTGCTACTTGCCGTTGCATAAACTTTATCCAGTTTAGAAGAGGCATTGCGCATTGCTAGCTATGTTATGCTGCGCTGCAGTTTGCACGTATGCACCTTGCATGCTACTGAACTGGGTGCCTTTTGTAGGAGGACGAGGCTGGTGCTGTTCAAGGACCAGGCTTTGTCAGCCACGACGTGGAGGCAGAAATGGTTGCAGGTGTGTTTCCACACACTTTTTACTTTTCTGGGTTTGTTAACTTAAGAAACACGTTTCACACGAACTGAACATCACGGTTGATGGGCCTAGGCCTGTTTCAAAGACGACAGTGCTTGTAGTACTTTTGTGCTTGCCAGACCCCTTTATTCTAGAAGTTGATCATCTTGAACAAATATGCAAAACAAAAGCAACAAAAGCAATCACAAAATGCAGCCAGAAAAACAAACAGCAATCATAAAGGCAAGAAAAGAGCAAAAAGAAGCAATGCCAAAATGCAGCTAGAACAACCAAAGCAATAATAAAAGCAACAAAAAAGCAAACAAAATTGCAAGCAAATATGGAACAACATGGCACGTTTGTAACAAACAAGAAATACACTTGCAACAAACAGCGTGACAACCAGTTCACAAAAGGAGTTACCTGGTAAGTACTTACAAAGCAAGCCAAGATGGAAAAAAATACAACTACTGCTACTGTACATGCGAGCGACTGGGCGACTAACTGTACACCCCTCCAAAAAAGCTCTGGGGTGGCTGACATCTACATGGTCCCTGAGGTTTCTGCACTCAGCCGGGCTTTCTGGTGCACTTTCTGGCGCACTTTTTGGAATGGTCCACTTTCTGGTGCATTTTTTGGAAGGTCCACTTTCTGGTGCACTTTTGGTCGCTTTTTGTGTTTTTGTTATTTTTGTTTATAATTGTTTAAAGATTTGTTTTCAGTTTTTTTTTTTGGCTTCTGTGTGCGCAAAGAAAGCGAAAAAAGCGACCAAAAGTGCGACACTTGACCCTGCGCCAGAAAACCAGTCAGCTGGGCTTCGGGGATGAAAGACCCTTGTCTTCCTCACCCTACCCGGCCTCCTCGTCAAGCTGGGCTCCAACGCGTTGAATATTGAATCTGCAGTTAGTCTGCAGAGGCCCTTGCTAGGGACTGGTAGTGCGGGTAGTAGCATTGCCTCTATTGACCTTTTGGCTTGACCACGTTAAAGAGTGCTTTAAGTGTGTGTGTTTTCTGTTTTCTTGGTTGTTATCTTTTTTTGCTTGTTTGGTTGCACTTTCCTTTGTTTTTTTGCTTTCTGCTTTCTTGGTTGCTCTTTGTTTTGCTTGTGTTTTTTTGTTATTTTTTCAAGACCGGCGGTTTCTAGAATAGAGCCACCTCTGGTGGACACAAAAGTACATGTTATTGATATGCAGTTGGTTGGCTCAACCCGTTTGCTGTCCAATGAGGCAGCTGCACCATGAGCCAACGCATCCTGGTGACAGGAGGAAATACCGGAATCGGCTTTGCATTGTGCAAGCAGCTAACTTATGACCATGGTTGCCACGTCTATTTGGGTGCTCGATCGGTGGAAAAGGGTACAGCAGCTGTGAAGGCCATTATGGATGGCCTGCCGGGCTCTTGCAAGGGCAAATGTGAACTGGTACAGTTGGACACTTCTTCTGATGCTTCTGTAGCTTCTGCTGTAGCTGCAGTGAAGGGTAGTCTTGATGCCGAGGGCTCCAAGGGCTCACAGTTGTACGCAATTGTGAACAATGCGGCCACTGGCGTCAGCCATGGTGTTGGTCCAGATGAGATCTTGAACACCAATGTTTGCGGACCCAAGAGAGTGGTCGAAGGCTTTCTGCCTCTTCTGGAGAAGTTTGGGCGCATTGTGAATGTGGGGTCCGGCGCTGGGCCCATGTATGTGGCTAAGTGTTCTCCTGAGGTGAGGAAGACCCTTTGCAGTTCGGAGGTGACTTGGGAACAGATTTTAGAGCATATGAAGTCGGGCTTGGGCTCCGCAGCTGATAGCATGGGCGGCTATGGGCTTTCCAAAGCGCTGCTCCAATGCTACACCATGCTGCTGGCCAGGCAGCATCCAGAGCTTCTGGTGAGTTGCTGTGATCCGGGCTTCATCGACACAGCCATGACCAAAGGCTTAGGAGCCTCCAAGTCTCCAGAGCAGGGCACCGTGTCTGTCAGACATTGCCTCTTTCAGAAGTTGGATGGAAATGGATGGCACTATGGCCCGGATGGGGTGCGATCTCCGCTTCACTTCCTGCGGCATCGAGGTGAGCCGGCCTACAATGGCGAACCGGTCGACTGAGCAAGAGCTCATCAGTTTTCCACCTGAATCCTGAATCTTCAAAAGCATGGCACATCAGATTGCGAAAAGAAACAACCAAAATCGATCAAAATCGTCACCTGTGGGCCAGAAAAACTGAACAACTGCATTAGAGTGCCGTGGCCTGCCCCTCTCGAAAAGATAGGAGAGAGAGAGAGAGAGAAGAACTTGTTGTTTCATGTTGTTTCTTGTGTCCATGCTATTTTAGCTCTCCCTGCCTCCCTCCCTTGATCCCTCCCTCTCCCCGCTAGCAGCACTAGCAGCTATGCGTTCCGAATCCGGAAGCGCACTATGCAAAGGATGCCAACAAGAAGTAGAATTCCATATGTGTGAATTCCGCATACTATCAGTTTGAAGGATGATAATGTAATGGAAAGCGCCAGGTTCCACTGCTTCCACAGCACCCCCGTGACATTAAGTTCCAAGTGGGTGCTCTGGCGCAGCTGGCTCAGCGATGAGACTGTTCTAAGCACTCAATCAATGATACCACTGCAGGTGCACTGCACATTCCCAAAAGCCAGATTCGGAGGCGGTTGGCCATACCAATAATGCATGTGAGATGCTTGTCAGATCTGCGCATGTCCATGATTTTTCATTCATTTTCATGTTGACGCAGATGTCTGCGTGCCAACTGGCCCATTTGGCGGCCTGCTGGGGTGTCAACTCAGTGACAGCAGCATGCATAGAGTCGTAACTCGCTTCTTAAAAGTGTCGTCTAAAATAGCAGCCGCACGATGCTATCTCATGTTGTGAATTCCACAGAGATATTGAGGCCATGTACTCACACACTGAGGTTTTTGGATGTCGTGGACTCTGGGGATGTTCAGCTTTATTGGCCGTAGAGCTGCCTGGTTGCACCGAGCCAGCACCCAGCGAGCTGGTTGCGGTGATTGGTCTTTAAATGTCTTGAGGCCTTCAAGAAGTCAGGACCTGGATTACAACGAAGCTGCTTTGCTACTCTGCTATGGCACTGATGGCATTCTTTTGCACTTGCTATGATTGAGTCGCTGGTTTCCATGATTGCTCGCACTTCTCAGCTCAAGCCGCTGGCCGCAGCCAAAGTGCTGTGGGGATAAAGCAAGGCAGCCGGAAGACCGAGGAAAAGCACATCTCAAGTCCAGAGTCTAATTGTACACTTGAGATCACTTTACCAGCTAAAGCACTCATTATAGTTATTCATTCAGATGCTGAGCAGATCTGTAGCAACATCGGCTATTCAGAAGATGGCAAGTTTTCAAAGAACTTCTCAATCCCTCACTCTTGGTGCCGCTTTGTGTGCTTCTAAGATAGGTCTTTCGAAGACGTGCCAGCTGGGTTACATGGGATCATTTTGACACTCTAAAACCGGCCTGCTGTCATGAGCGACAGGCAAGTTTTAGCTGCCATTGGCATGAAAACTGGTGGAGACTGTCGATACTTTGAGCTTGTCCACCTGACATGCGGTGACTTGAGACGAAAGTGCTTTGCTTGTGTGGGGAAGCACTCCTTATTTTTCCTCAGGCAAGATCTCAATGGCCCACTTCATGATGATGCTGATGTTTACTACAGCCTGATTGCACGAATTATTCAGGACGAAAACTCGGATCAACATTGCTTGCTGACCATGACGGAGGAACTTCCAAATTGGAATTCAGATCGGCTTTTCATCAAGGCCGAGAATCGAAGCCTTTTCTTGCGACATTTGCGATGCAATTGGCAGACTGACCACATGTGGCGACTGGGTCGGGTGGTGGTCTTTCCACTGAGCAGCCACCCAATAACAAAGGAGCGTAGTTTTGACAACTATGTTTTGCCGTATCAAGGTTATCGCTGGACAAAATTTCAAGGATACCGTTTCATGCTGCCAGAGCGTTTCTCAGACCAAGCCAATTCGATTCAAGATTCAGAGACTGGTGAGTACGTGGACGAGCACGGTATCAGCTTAGTGGTGCATGTGCACGAAGCATTCAGTTTAGAGCAGCTTGCGCAAATCTACAGAGACAACATCCGTTGGGTGGCTGCCGATTACAAGACACAACTTTGCTCCGAAGAGAAGCAATTCTATGTCATAAAGAATTGCAGTCGTGACAAGCGCATGAATCTCGCTGCTGATGTAGCTCAGTGGCATCAGTGGGAGCTCATCATCCGAACAAGACAGGCAACGATCCTTTGCTTGGTGATGAGGCGACAGTACATACCACCTGCCTGCTGCAATGCCCAAGACATTGCGGTGCTTTTGCGCTGTCCTGAAGAACATTGGACAGATAGAGAGACCAGTTTGCTACTGGAAGCATACCTGATAGCAGACTCCCTATGTACGGACTCTCCTAACGTGTCTGTTTATCGGGATGTGGTGCAGGCGAAACTTGATGCACTGAGATTTGATGAAGAGGGCACGGAGTGGATAGCAACGCATTTGAAGCTCAAGACATGTTGGGAAGTTGAAGCGGTGCGGCTTGTGAAGAGTATTTGGAAGCTGTACTGTGATGACAAAGTCGAGGGATATGACCCAAAGGTTCTAGAGATGTCCCCGCAGGAAGTGCTCATGGATTCAGGTAATGCCGAAGAATGGGCAGAGCTAGAGTGCATTGACAACTTTCAGACTTTCTTCACCGACATGTTGACTCGTGGGGAGGGCCTTCCGTTGAGTGGTACGCAAGCAGATGCCCTGGATGAGGACACCAAGCTGCGAATTCAGCACAGCTGGCATGCCAGGGTCGCGCGCTATTTTGCCTGGGCAGTGGATGGCGGACTTTTGGGAGCCAGGTTCAACTTGGAACTGATGATCGAAGGACGGGTCCACGCGTTGGGTGAGAGGGCATAGGGGCCAAGGGCCGGGCGCCCTACGGTACATCAGCTTTTGTATATATATATATAACGCTGAAAATTGGGCCGCAACAAGAGGTTGAGTCCAAAGATGGCATATGATCTCTAGATCCCCTTCACATAGCTGCAAGTCAATGGAAAGCCAAGGCCAAAGCCATCCAGAATCGAAGTGAACAACGCCCACTAGACTCTATATAGACAATTCCTTTTCTTAAATTGTGTTTTAGGGTTAGTTTCTTGCGTGTTCACCTGGCCATTACTTAGAGTTTGGTTATATAAACGAAACGGTGCTCGCCAGGACTGTCCGCACTGACTGAGGAGCACTACAAAAAGGCTTATGCCGCTTTTCTGTTTCTGCTGCATTTGCGACCTCGAGACCTGACCAAGCCTTTTCACGAGGTGAGCCTGGCCCAGCAGATGAAAGATAAAAACCTCAGCCAGTGGATGTTCAACGATCGAGTGATGTTGGCCGTTCTGAGCACGGACTTCCTGAAGAAACAAATCGGGAAAGGAAGAGACGCGGACTTTTTCCGTTGCTTAGCCAACCTTTTGGAGGCTGGCTGTGGAGTAACCCTGAAAGCCTACATTTGCAGACTCTTCATGGAAATGAGAGCGCAGCCAGAGGCAAAGGCTAAAGATGAGGACGTGTCGGCTGATCTCATTGTCGTCCCTTCAATGCTTTCCCTCTTGAAGTCTGGGGGGAACTTCCTGGCGGTGTATGCTTCAGCAGCCTTGGTCAATCTCAGCAGCGGCAACCAGGCCGTGAAGATGATTCTTATGGGTCAAGGTATGGCCAAGACGGCTGTGCGGAATATTCAATCGAAGGATGATGACCTAAGTTACTACACGCTGATGCTCATGGTGAACCTCACCAAGGAGCCCCACAATCGAAGTGTTATTGCCAGTGCCGGTCTGATTCCCTTGCTCTATGATATTCTCACGTCATCCTATTCTCAAGTCCGACCTGCGAAAAAGCGGCAAACCATGCAGAGTGCTGCGTTAGGCAGTATTGCAAAGGAACGGTTGTTGACGCAAACATGTATAGTGGTTGGACAGTTCTGTAATGATGACCGCTTCCGTGAGCAATTCATCGCAGCTTGTCAGAACATGTAATTACTGTACTTTGATTGTTTCATTGGATTGTCTTCTAGCTTTCCTCTATATAAAGGTTAAGTAGTGGCAGAGCAAACAAAAGCTGGGTCAGCGGTTTTTGAACGATTAAGCGTGTGGGTCCCGGAGCTTGTTTAGTTGACCTTAGCAGTTTGGCGGAAACCTTGGGGCTTGGTTTTGTGATGTTTTGTGTGTGAGGGCACTGCAAGAGAACCAACATTGTGCCTTGCCCGAGATTTGAGGACATGTATCCACACACTGTGAAGTGCCTCTTGTACATCTTTACGACGGTCAGCTTCGGCTCGTTCTTGTCATCCAAGACCATGTTTGCACTCAAGCAGCTTTGTGCCAGCCGGAATGACCAGAAGCATCACATCGGCACACATGCTATCCCACACTTGATCGACAGCTTGTCAGACAAAGAAGCTGAAAAGCCAACGGAGTGCATCTACCAATCGCTGTTGCTCCTGATTATGCTATCCGGCCTACAAACCAACACTGAGCTAATGTACAGAGAGGGGCTAATTCAAGTCTTAGAGGAGCTTGGCGAGCACTCTTCTGCCAAGCGCAGTGACGGCTTCCACAACCACGTTGGACAGCTCATGCAAAGCATGGGCGAGATAGCTGCAGCAGACAATAAGTAAAGCAGTGATAGCTCACTCAATCTGTAGCACTCGCCTGCCAAAGAAAAAGGATCTCTTCGGCATGCACGGCCCATCTAGCATCCAGCCACTCCAAGGGCTGTTCAACAAACTGCATTACGGCTCAGTGTTTAACGCAGAGGACCTTCACAACTGGTTTCTTCGGCGCTGGGCGGCGGTCTCAATGCCACGATAGAACGCACGGGCACGGTTCATTTCAAACCCGGTTGCTTATGCTTGCTCAACTCCGCCCAGGTTTGGCATGCCTTACTCGCGGATGCGACTGTTGTTTGGCAATCTGCATTGGAGAAGGCCCAGGAGATGCAAACAAGTTGGCCACATGTCCAGGATCTAGAAGTCAGGTAAGTAGCCCTAGGCTCATTTCGGTGCTGCAAAAGTATGGCTCGATGATATGGATTCCAAATGTGTCGGAACTCAAGCATTTGTACTTCTATGGTCTTAGTATGTTTTTGTAGTGTCCAGCAGAAAGGACGATGCAATTTGATTTGAGACCTGTGCCTGTGCAGAATATTCATTTAAGCACCAATACAGCACCTTTACATTGAAAAGATGTGGCAGTGTATGTAGTATCGTCCCTGATGCTTGTCACCTGCAACCTGCAGCCAATCCTGCCAGAGGGGTGAGGCTCGCAGTATTCTCCATGACAGCGGAGGTACAAAAGGCCTTGGAGTCGCTTGACAGACTTGCCCAAGCAGAACAAGATGCGCCTCCATCTGCTACTCAGTGCCGTAATGGAATGATATGCCTTGTTCATGCTCTTCAAAGAGAGGTGAACAAGACTGGGCTCACCTCTGGGTCTATTTCTTCAATATCTCAGCGTGTTGTCCAGCTTATGCAGCAGCACTTGGAAGACTCTGAGGTGCAACGCTGGGGCGCAGCAACTTTGGAAGAGCTTTTTCGAAGAACACCTGGACCTGGTCGCGCAGATCAGGACACAGCTGCCTGGGCAATGACTTTCCGCGATGCTATTTCAGCACTTGTTTCCGGCGCACAAGCAAGTCCAGCGGCAATCGATCTCCAGCGGCGCTGCTTCAGTGCTCTCATTTGCTTGCTCACAACAGATGATGAAGACGATGCCTTTGATGGCAGCATTCTTGCGAGCCATATGTTGGAGCATGAGGTGATGTCATTGGTAGCAGGTGCGATGCAGCTGCATGCCTTGTCTCCGTCCTTGCTGGAGTGCGCTGTGTCCCTAATCTCCAGCCTGGTGTTGGAAGGAGGCGACGTGGCTGCAGATGAAGCATTCCGAACTGGCTGTTTGAAGGCAACACTTTCCACTCTCGCGCGTACACTTGACAACTCTGAGAACGATGATCAATGGCAGGGGTCTTGTCTCGTTGCGGATGCGTCTTTACAGCAGACTTGCTTGCGAGCCCTTTGGTCTGTGTCAGAGTCTGGTGAGTTGGGAGTGACGGAGATTGCAGCTGACACTGGGCTGGAGTCAGTCATCTCCATCCTTTCCCAAGACGGCACGGCAGAGGTGCACAAGTGGTGTGCTAGTGTGCTTCAGTCCATGCTTGCGAAGGGAGGAAGCGATGGACTTCTTGCTGAATCTGTGATGCTTTTGAACGGTTCAGAGGTGCTCGTTGCTTCGATTGCACGCTATGTTGATCACCTCGATGTGATTGAACGATGTGCAGCTGCTTTGGCCACTCTTGCGGCGTATGGTCCTGATGCAGCGGTTTCTGTATTGGAAGCTGGAGGCCTTCGTGGCAATGTGGCAACTGAAAGCCACACATATTGTATAGTATAGTATTATATATATGTGTGTGTATGCACTATACAAGAGCCCAAGAGTTCTGAAGTTGCTTTCATTCTGTTGCACGGCTCATAGACTAAGACTACCACCACACCCAGTCACCCAGCACGGCTAAATGAATGTTGGGCGACACTCACCAGACCTTCGTGAGACTCCCAGCACGTCATTCTTGGACAGTTGCAAGAGAGTGACGCCAAGTTGACGCCAAGCTGAAACAATCAGAGCATGCGCTAAACAAAGGAAACTTACCGAACACTGGTGCTGTGAAAACTATGCCGTCACCTCCATCGTTGCTGCTGTTGCCTTTGTCGTTGTCGTTGTGCCGTGGCTGCTATGGTGTTCTCCGCGAGGAGCTCGGAGGGAGACGTGTTGAGGAGTCCACGATTGGAGCGAAAACTGCTTTAGCACTTGCAGAATGCCATTGTTCCAAACTCCCCGTCCACATTCAACCTGTCTTCTCATGCCATTGTTCAGGAGTGAGGGGTTGCAGAGGCTGCCAAATAGCATAGAGGGGTGCGTGTATGCCTTCCTGACTGACACAGGACACACTTCCGTTTTTTGGGCCATGACTGTTCAACATATATAAAACATTATACACGCTTTGCATGGCGTGTGGTGTAGTTCTTTTGCACGTTTGTGGGTAATTGTTGGTGGCTAGCCCAAAATGTTGTTGGGAGCAAAAGTGTCCAGTTGGGAGGCCTCAGTGCAGTTGAAGAAGCTGCAGGTGTCTATGGCTTGGATGGAGACTTGGGTCATTGGTATCATGCACTCCAGGAAGCAATTGAGCATTGTACAGATAGTGATGTCAGTCCAGCGCGGGAGGCTGAGACGACTGAAGACTCCAGCAGAATAGGGCTTTAATGGGCACCTGACACATGATTGTTTACAGCCGACACTTCCCGTCCAAAGTGACAAGCGACAAGTGGGGACAGGAACAACATGAAAAGCAAAGGGAAATGCCATTGCAAGATGATCATGTTCAGTTGTGCATAGAGAGACAGACACTTTCGGAGCTTGAATTTTGCGATGAGCTGTGTTGGTCAGTTGCGCAGGATCAAAAGAGGACAGCTGAGCGTGATGCCGTGAGGCGGGGTGATGTCCTGAGGAGAGGTGATGCCCTGAGGCGGGGATTGATTTAAGCTGTTCAAGCAGATAATTATTGGACGTAACGTTCTTGTCATGCAGTTGGTGCTTCTATAGTTGTGTGCTTTTGTTGGGTCCCTTTGTCTAATTGAATCAGTTTTCCAGTCAAGATCCAGTCAAGGCTGGAGCCTTTCGATCTTCAGCAGTGGCTGCCACAAGGAAGACATCGACCTTTCACCACGCCCATGGCTCAGGAGCAGGTTGAAGGATTAAGGCTTGCGATATCTTGCGATTATCATGGTGAACTGTTAGTTCGAGCCCCTGTCTCACACGAACACATGTTTACCACCAGGAGATTTTCGAGTGCTGTGACAGGTGCTGAATCTTTGGTTGCTTGGCTTTAGAGACTTGACATAGACTTGGGTCACCAGGTCCGCAGCGCCGCATGAAGTGATGAGAGAGCCATGCGCGGAGTGGTAGCGATCAAGACACATCAGACACAGGTATGACAGAAGATAGCCTTCAGGGCCTGGTCCTGGGTTCCATATCCTCTTCTGAAGATCTTAATGATGCGAGCAGCTTGGAGAACATTGATCACAATTTCACAAACGTGGAGAGTTCAGAGGAGGATTCCGATCCCGAAGAGATTGTGAAGCAAGACTTGCTGATCCACAAGTGGTGCCAGAAGCAGCTTGGAGATCTTTTGAGTAAACTCTCATTGGAGCCGGAAGCGGTGCCGTTTTTGGTTCCAGTTGACTGGGAGCGTCTTGGCTTATACGACTACCCAGAAGTTGTGCAAGACCCAATAGATTTGCATACAATTAGCAAGCGGTTGGACGCTTCTTTTTATCACGATGCTGATGATCTCATTGACCCAGACTTGATCTTCAGGGACATTGAGCAGTGTTGGGAGAACTGCCTTATGTATTTTGAACATGACCTTGACGTGGAGGTTGTCCAGATGGCTATGAAGATGTCATCCGTGGCAAAACGGATGGAAGAGAGGTTTTGGGCTGATCTCTCAGCATTCGAAGAATCGCTGGAGAAGAGGCCCTTAGCCACTCAGGTGGCGCTTGCAGCCACTCGAATGGGGGTTGCTGCAAAGAAAGTAGCCAAGAAGGGTCGCAAGACCGCTGTTTTTGCCAATGACATGGTGAAGTTTGCTGCAGATTGGTGGCAAGGAAAACGAAAAGAATCTCCATTCTGGAAGGACGAGAAAGACAGCTTGATTGGACTGATGTGGCCGCCTCGCTTCAAACGAGCCATCGCAGTGGTTCGCGAAACAGTTCGTAGAGTTCCCCTATCCTTGTTGAGTTCGGAGAAGGCCGTGCAGTCTTTTTTGAAGCCACTGGCCGAATCGATTTTAAGGACGGTGTCATCTTTGTCGATGCCATCTGGCGTTCAAGTCATCCATGACACCATTGGGGATATCAAGGGCGAGTGGATTCTGCCTGATAGCTATGAGCCACACTCACACGCTGAGAAGGTTCTTGTTTGGGCTCATGGAGGCGGTTTTGTTCTGTGCTCCCCAGCCACGCACCGGTTTTTCCTTGCACGCATCGTTGTGCATACTGGTGTCCCCACCTTTTGTGTGGATTTCCGCAAGCCACCACGCCACCCGTTTCCAGTTCCAAAGAACGACATACTCGAAGTCTACAAATCTATCCAAAAGCAAGGCTTTGCTGATGCCGTTTTCTTGGGTGGTGATAGTGCCGGAGGGAATTTGGTGCTTTCAGTCGCAAAGGAACTTGCCGAGTCAGAGTCCGACTCTGTCGAGACCCCACTTCCAGAAGGGCTGATTCTTTTGTCACCGTGGGTGGATTTGTCGGACACTACTGGTGACTCTTGGCACCAATATGCGGATGTAGATTACATTCCTTCAAAGCAGGCCGAGGTCATTGCAGGGATTTACGCTCAAGGCGTTCCATTGCGTGACGCTCGTGTCTCGCCAGGGCGATGCAGAACTTGGCCAGTTGGCTTCCCACGAACTTTGCTGGACTATGGAGGCTGCGAGGTCTTTCGCACACAGATTGAGAGACTGGCGGATAACATGATGCATCACGGCGTGGAGCTGGATGCCACCGTCGAGGACGGAATGGTTCATTGCTACCCACAGCTTGAGTACTTATGGGGGCCAGATCCGGATGGTCCGTTTGAGGCGTACTTTGAGCGGGTGTCGACTTTTATGGCAATGAAGTATTTTTAGACCTTAGCAGCCTTACCAAATCTCTCAAAGCAAAGCGTGTGTGGACGAAAAGGGTGCCGTTTGGCCGTTTGGCGTACGAAATTTCTCCGGTCGCCATGTACACGACAAGGGGCCGAGGGATGCCGAGGGATGTTGCTCCTGTCAGGTTACGCCGGCATTTGCAAGCACACCTGGTGACTGAGTCCGCAGCCTCTCGTTGAGTGGTCGTTTGAACAGCTGTGCTGTTCAGATTCCCAAGGTCAGAAGCGAAAGGTGGAAGCTTGTTGGAGCCTTTTCTATCCTTATATAACTTGCAAAGAGGATCAAAGAGCATCCAAGAGCGTTGTGAAAAAGGCAATTGGAAGAAGCACATGCAGCACATGCATTTGAGTGTGGTCATGCACTTATCCCTGAGCTCAACAATCTCAGGCTTTGGCTCTTGCCGTCCGTTCTGCAACAAAAGGTAGCTGCAGTGGGGGCTCCTGATTGCATGTCGTGGTTTGATGCCTTCATTGGTGGCAAATTGATTAATTACAGTTACAGGCCCTTTGGAAAGATGTCCGGCAACAGCTGCTGTCATCCGAAAAGGACTGCAATTCTTTGATTTCAGAATGAAAAAGGGAACGTATTGTGGCTAGCTAGCGCCTTTATGCATAGAGGTGGGCTCGCATGAAGTTGAGAGTGCCATGACACTGGCTGGCGCGTTTGTTTTGCACGTGCCAAAGTAGTCCGAAGTCTGTGTTTCAGCAGGCTTTGCGCTTGGGCAAGGCTGACCCGCCGGAGCCCCAGAACATTTGCACGACTCTTTATTCTTAATTGAAAGTATCTGAATCTGGCAACAGTTATCCAAAGGTGTAACTCATCAATGCGTCGCATTTGGTCCTGCGGAAGCTCGCCAAAGCACCTCCTGTAAATACCCAGTTCTGCGTCAGCACATTTCTTGTGTTGATAGTGCACTTTGCATCTCAATGACTTCTGCTGGAGAATGCGTCAACCAAATGCACCGCGAAAGGCTTCGCAACAAGCACCACTAAACAAGTAAATTCACCGCCTAGGCCTTTGCAGCCGCTAAGTTCCCGCGAAGGGGTTGTTCTGGTGTGATATTAGTTACTGGAGTACCTGGAGTCTGGAGTCCCCGCAAACATAACACAAATAGGAGAAACACTTCTCATTTGGCGAATGTTCCAAAGGAGTTGATGTGAGCGGCCAGAGTTGAGCCTCACAGGTCAGCACTGGCACAGGCACAGCAAAGTTGCGGTCAACGCTGCTAGTTTGGTGAGATAGCGTTTCTGGAACCTTTAGACAGAGGGCTCCTAGTAGGGCTCCTGTTTCAATCGTAGCTCCTTGCCGTAGGCTGCACGTTCGCTGCTGTCGGTTGCGGCGCTGTCAGTGGAGACAGCTGCTGGAGATGCTGAGGCAAGGCTAAACCATGGGCCTTCAGGGAAACATGCAGATAAAGACTGCTTTTCACAGCTGTTGAAAGAGCTCGTGTCCAAAGCAAGTCCGTTCAAGCGACGTCCGCGTGTCCAACCGTCCTGTCTTTCAGGCAGCTTTAAGGGCCTTGGCACGTTTATCTGCAGGCATGGGGCCTGGAGTGTGTGAAGGTGTGGTTTGTAAATTTCACTGGGAAAGGTTACTTTTGTTGCTAGGTCACTCTGAAGAGCTGTGCTCAACACTCTCAGATGTCACACGCCTAAAGACTGACATGCTTGAGTCACAAGGAATTTCTGCATGTGTGGAATTTGTTTTTGTTATGCTGCTCCATAAGCTGTCAAGGCCTTGCCTGTTCTGTTGTGGCTGGTTCTGGCCCGAGGGTTTTGTCGAGATGGGTTTCTGTGTGAAGCCAGCAAGCAAAGGCCAGTGAAGACATGGCATGCCATGTTTGCACACCTTGAGTAGTATTGCTTGACGATTGAGGTAGATGTCACCGGTGCAACTGGGAGGCTAGGTTGGACGCAAGCAGCATCCACGTTTGGTTACAGTTTGGTTGCGCACCCATGGGTACTGCCAGCGCCGAGCAAACCGCGCCGCCGCCGCCTGGCAGCTGTGGTAAGCGATGCAGTAGCTTCAATATGAATCCGACAAACATGGACACGCACAAAGTATGACAGGCAATAATGTACATTCACAATGTCTTCTCAACATTTGTGAACTTGAACGAATGTCACGGACAACGATTTGGCCAGCGTGGCAAGTTGGCGACTAGCAATGGCACAGAATGGCACGCAAGTATGCCCGTGAACAACCCGATCCCCACGAGATTGATTTATACGAGAAGCTTCTTTCGCGCAGCTGCCTTAGATGTCTTAGACTCTTAGACTTTGTCAATCAGAGTCATTCTAGGCTGGAGATCTCCAGAGCATCCACTTTTTTCAAGCAAAAGCCGGGTTTTGGTGTGTTCTTTGCAAAGAGTGAGGTGAAGGATTGGCCTGTGGTGTGTTGGATCCAGACTTTGCAGATCCATTGGATGGGAAATTGACTTTGGAGAGGGGGTTTCGCTACACTTTGCAGCTGGATTGTGAGGATGAGTCCTTAAATCTTTGTCGTGTAGTTGGTTCCATGCGCTGTGAGCCACGGGATGGTGTGAGCGGCTTTGGTTTTGCGCTTCTGGAAGCAGATCTGCCCGGGCAAAAGGGTTCTTCTCAGGAGATCCGTGTTTTAGTCTTTGCAGAGGAATGCAATCGCAACGCCCTACTGGCCTTGTTGGAGCATTTGACCAACCATCGATCCTTCCGGCGACGTGGCGCCTCGTTGCTGGCGTGGCTCCCCACCGGCTGCATGGCGGGTTGCCTCTCTGGGTGCGTGGGACGTGGGAAGGCACCAGGCCTCCCGCATGAGTTCTCCGATAATTCGCCTAGGCTTCGGTCAGAATCTTCCTTCGCCCGACACCGCCCAGAGAAGGAAGCGGCCAGTGCACACTTAGAGGGGCTGAAGGCTTATGCCCGACAACTGTGGGATAGGCAGACGGTCACTGGATCCCTACGCAGCTTGATTCAAGGAGTGTTGAGTACTGTACACATGTTTATATATTCAGTTCAAAAGTTCTATTTGTCTATCTATCTATATCTCTATCTATCTATCCATCCATCCATCCATCCATGCATCCATGCATGCATCCATCCATGCATCCATCCATGCATCCATCCATGCATCCATGCATCCATCCATCCATCCATCCCTCCATCCGTCCGTCCATCCATCCATCCATCCATCTATATGAACATATATCAACACTCCTTGGGAGTCAGTTTCTTTGTGTTCTCAGTCAGGCAAGAGTGGCAGCCTTGGCGATCTCTCAACGGCTCTCAGGCAGTGCGCTTCACAGCTTTCGAAGAGATAGCTTCCTCCGGTGAGAGTGTGCAGTGAAGCCAAAGATGAGGTACAGCCGCAGGAAGGAGACAAAGGACACGAAAGAAAGTAAAGATACCAAAGAAGCAAGGAGCTCTACCCCAGTACAGCCCTGAGCAGAGTGAGGGCTCCTTCGTCAGAGATTCTGATGAGTAGGGTCGTGGATTTACGATGTTTTTTTGCGTTGAGCAGTGTCGTGAAAAGCTAATTATATACATACATGTGTACTGTAGATATGTATATATATATACATGCCCTACTGTAAGGCAGGTAAAGACAAAGACAATAAACTGCCGGCGAATGACTGTGCAGTGCTGCTACACAGGCGCCAGTGCAAGTGACTAACAAAGGAGAGAGAGTGTGGTGAGGTCTCTGAGTGTCATGCTGTTTCACACTTCTGGCGACTTCAGGCTGCTTCTGGAAATGGATCCCTCCGGGGATGGTCAGGCAGGGTCAAGATGCAGTTGAAGGATTGAGGCTTTGCAGTGTGACTCAGCCGAATCCAGCCTCAGGCAGTGGCGGGATTCGAACTATTCCGACTCTCTACCAGCTTCGAAGAGTTTTGGGACGTTTTGCTCCTTGAGTTGCACATTTGAACCTACCTGGGAACAATCGAACACTTGCCATCCATCAATGGATGCATCTTCCTGGTAGACTACCTAATTTAGTTAGTTCATTTTTGTATAGATGCACATATTTGTTACATATATAACAATAATATATATAGTCCATAGTCTATCTACCAAAGGGAACTTCAAGCGGAGTTTCCTTAGTATTGGCTGCAGAGGTTGTCCTGAAAGGCGATTCTGTTCACTCCCATTTTAATTCCCCCGGTCCAGTTCGGTTGGACTTGTTTCCAGTCATCTACTCATCTCATTTGCCATTATGCCTCATTATTGCCCATTCTCCTTTCCCTCACGCGTTTCCCTCTATGCATCCTCGTGTTCATGCTCATGTTCATGCTGGTCTGGTGTGTCTGGTGTTTTGCTGCTGGAGTTTGCCAGTAGTTTGCTGCTGCTGGGCTGCCGGCTGGTCTGCTGGTGTGCTTGTTGTTTGCTATGGCTGCTGCTGATCTCTGCAAACCCTCTCCTGCCTAACCTACCTTTCGTTCACCTCCCTCCCCTTATATATATAAGTCATATATTAAATTACAAACATGAAAAAACAATAAATAAATAAATACATATTCACATTGACACTCGAGGCAGTCCATGCTCTTGATAGATGCCTTACTCGCAGAGCCCAAGCTCCAGAGCCGAAACCAGACAGCAGGGCAGCACGTGAACCGGAATTGAGTGAATGCAGGTGATTTTGAGAAAAGCAGCAGGGGAGGACATGCTGGCTGAGCTTCCTTGTTGTGACCAAGGATTTGGAGACACGGGCACCCCAGTGATGACTCTGGAAAAGTGGAGCTGGTTCCTGGTTCAGGTTCAGAATGAAGAGCGCCCCTAGCTTCAAGCAGCAGTGTGTGGTGGCTGTGTACATGCTTGTGCTTACATATTTGCAGAGTGCGGTGATGTGTGACACGATGTGTAACATGTGCGCGCGCTCGAAGATATGAACTTTGATGTATCGGTTTCTTTTTTCAATTATCTTCAACATCCGGTTGGACCTCAGGAGCTGTTGTTGAAGCTGCTGCCTCCCAGCTGAAGGCAATGGAGGAACCCTACGTTGACTCGGGGCAGCTCACCATTGCTGGGCTGTCCGTGAACCTTTGCGTGCAAAAGAACAGTGCCACCTGTCGGCTAAAGAGGCTGAAGCGGCGAGAGCCAACGTATTGGACGTTTTTAGGAAAAGCATGGAAAAGCATGAAGAAAACCTTGGAGTCACAATCTCCCATGCTCATACCCACGACTTGAGGCGATTCGCCCTGACCTTTGCGAGAAGTCCTGTGAGATGGACAGACCCATCAGCGACTATTGGATTTCCACGGCTCACCACGTGATCCTGGAGACCGTGGAGGCCGACGTTCCACATCCGCCCAGCTCTCCAGTCGCCGAGGCCCCGTTCAGAACGGCCGGATTTCCACAATGAACAACGACCTTGCGATGGCAAAACAAAATGCTTTGCATTGTGCACAGCGTTGCAGGAAGGCAATATGCTGGAACCTTTCTTGCAGCTCTTGCAAGATGGCTGTCGCTGTTTCAGCCTGGCTTTGGTGGAGAGCACAGAGCTGCAGGACAAGACAAAGTTGCAGGCACAAGCATTCAAAGCACCTGCTGCTTGCTTCTGAATGCTTCTACATGGCTGAAACTTGGGAGGTTGTGCTGCAAAAGAAACGGGTTTCTTTTGCTGACGCTCACTTAGTATCTTGCAGAACCGAAGGTGTGCGTGCTTCTGCCGTGTAATGCGCGTTGAGATGTATGACCCTCCCGAGGATGTGCTTGAGCTGCTGGCGGCAGTTGGTTGAAACCTTGGCACTCAACAAACCCGGGCCCCCTTGTTCTCCACGCTCATGCTGAGGCTTCCGGATGTCAGAGTATCCCATTTTGTCAACTGCTCAATTTGGGAATCCACCTTTTCGATCCTTTTCGTGCTTTTACGGTGTTTGACCAGATTCTGAGGCTTGTCCTTTCTTTGCACCAATTGGTGTCACCAACACAACGCGGCGAGGTTGGCGGCGCCGGATGCTGTTTCTCAAGTCAGCTGGAAGGACCTTGTTGTTCGTGCTTCCTCCAGCGAAATCGTGCAGGTTGCAGAACTGGTTTACGATAAGCTTGGAGAGCGCTTGTGGAGGACCTGGGGTCAAACCACAGGGTCACAGAGGGCCCAGTCGTTGATTGCACGCGCCAGGAGCAGCAGAGACTTGCCATCTCCGGAAGAAGCCAAAAACCACATAGCAAAAGACTCAGCGCATCCCTGTTAGTAGAACAGGTAAAAGTGAAAACACTTCTGACCTGAATGATACAGTAATTGAGGTGGTGGTTCTGGCGCCAAATTGTGATGTTGATCCTGGCCTGGAGTCGCCAACAGCCCAAAGAGGCCAATCAGATGCTGACACTACTACTTCAGCCAACTGATGCGGTCATGTATGGCATGCTCAGAGATATTGCCAGTTGCATTTAGTGTGGCTCTACCTTCCAAAGCCATCGCAGTTCCAATGCGAAAGTCGTCGCAGGTGGTGTCAACTCAACTGTGGAAGAGAGTGAAGTAATGGAGGCCACCGATGCCACCCGTGCGCTGCTTGTTGCTCGACTGCTTCACTAGCTTCAGAAATGGATTCTCCACTGGAGTTGTTGAAGCCCACCTGACAAGCATGGCCTGTTTGGTGATTGGCCAGTTGAGCCAGACAGCTGGTTTGGTTCAGGCCTGGCAGGAGGCTGCCAAGAACTTTACAGTGTGGTGTGGTCAGGTTGGGTTTTGTGTGGTTTGGGCAAACACCTCGAACCGAATGGAGAAAGTTTGCCGACCCAAAGAGCAAGGTGGTGAAGGTTCATGTTCCAACATTTTCCAACCAGGTCTTTGATCGGACCTTTGCACAGAAATTGCCGGGAGAGAATTCCGCCGGTCCTGCTTGTTTTGCAGCTTGAACTTTGTCGACGGGCTTGCTATGTTTCAATTGCTTCAACTGCTGTTTTTTGATGTTTTTTGTGGGGTTCGATTTGATGGTGACATTTAGCAAGGTTGGGTTCTTGCCATCGGATGAGCTTCGAAGCCTTGCTGAATTCAAACAGAATCTTGGCTCGGGTTTTCGATGGTTTGGGGTGAAAGCGTGTTTCGGCACGGCTGCGCGGGCCCAGGCAAAGTATGCTGGAGTACCACAGGCAGTAGCCTGGTGAGAATCCAGCTTGTGTATGCCTACGTGTTTCTTTTGAACATTCGCCTTTGTCAAGCCACCAAGTTCACCAAGGTATCTTTCTTTGAGCTTCCCTGTCGCTCCACGGCAAGCTCCAGCAACGCGTCCACATGATATAAAGTGCTGGCGGTCTTGACAAGCGCAGTGAGTGCCCTACTAGGTGAATTACAATCCTGCTGCAGCATGGTCCTGTGGTGCCACGAGCTCGGTTCAGTAGTATTTAAAGTAGCTGCTTCACTGCCACATCCTGCGAAGCTTCAACATGTTGAGTTGCAGGTTCAAATGGCGGCGCTGACGCTGGGATGCGGAGGGTCTGGTTGTGATGGCGTTTGATTGCCCAGATCAACGGACACTTGATGAAGGGAGCGAGTGAAGTGCATATGCCCTTGGACCTGAGGCCGTCCTTGCGCACACGGGGCTCTTTTCACTCAATGGAGGTTGCGGATATGTGCTGACACTTCCTGTGAATACTGTAGAAGGGTTGCCCCAAGATGCGAACAGAAAGTCGGCAAGGATTGGAGAGAGATTGCTTGCATCAGTGGCTGAGGAAACCGGCCTTTCTACGGAACAGCTCAGGTGCCCAGGCAGTGTGATTCTGACTTTGGGATCTTCATGCGCTCCATTTTTTAGCAGGCAGCTGCTCAACCCAAGCCGATCTACTTGGAGGCTCCTGCGCTGATTCCAGTTCTTAAGACTGCCATGTGAATCATGTGTTTGAGTGGTCTGCAGCGAGGTTCGGCTGGTAGCAGCCAGGGCTGTTCCAGGGATTGATGCTCCCCTTCCAAAGGGTCCTGTGGTGCTTGCCCCACGGAGCCGAGAGATATCGAAGCATCTCTCGTTTGGTTTTCACGTTGGCTGTGGTGTTGGGCACAGGTGCTGAGTGCCAGCATTTGGGGTGCTCCTACAGATTGCGCTCGCCAGGCGCTCCCGAAAGTGCAAGACTAGTTCACTCCTCCGCAGTGTTCGGCCAGGACTACCATCCAGTCAAAGCAACTGGCTTGGTTATTTGTTGGCCAGATGTGCCCAGGTTGCACTATTGTGTGCATGGTTGCATTCTTATCCCACCAAAGTGATGGACATCACATCACATGCTGTGTGGAGGGCGTTTTCGTCCTCATAGGCACTGACATGGCGTCTCATTGACAGAGCATCCAAGCAAGTAGTTGTCACATTGTGCGGATCATAAACTTGACCGGCACAGAGCACTGCAAGCATGGACTAGAAGCGGGCAATCCGAAGATGACCAGGCACCGGACGACTGTAGATTCATGGTTGGATCAACCTACAAACTCCGTACTTTCATGAAGGCCATCCTCCTCCTCCTCATCATCATCACCATCATCATCATCATCACCATCACCATCACCATCGTCATCGTCATCGTCATCGTCAACGTCAGCAGCAGCAGCAGCAGCAGCAGCAGCAACAACAACAAACATATACAAAAATGATCCAGGGTTGAAATATGTTTGGGTGTCCTTTTGGTACTGCCCCTGGTCATTGGCAGACTCAAACAAATTCCTGCCAGGGTCATCCCACGATCCCACCACTTGGCATGCACTCCAATGGACCTCCTTCTTATGCCTTTTCTCATTGGAGGGCAGAAGGACCCCCGTGAAAATCTCTACAAGGAGTTGATGATGCATGTTATGTTGATGTCAAAGCCTTCAGTTTTCCACCAAGGCCGCAGGATTAGCAGCCTGGCTTCTTCAGAGCACGGTTCCTGGCTGTGGGTCGAACGTTATGAATGAAACGCTAAGGGTTTCAACGTGGCATCCCCACATGCAGCAATCCTGGTGGCCCGGGATCCTGGTGGCCCGTTCGGATGCGGAGTCCCGGAGCCATCAACCTCAGGTTGAGCTCTTCGAGCTGGACCAGAAAGGAGGCGGACGGGATGGAGGTCCACAGGTCGGTGGAGTGTTTTTTCCGGTCTAAAGCAGTTGGATAGAATCTATTAGAGTTACCGTATTACAGTAGTTAGAGTCTATCGCCGAATTGAGCGAAAGATGAAAAACGCTCGCCTGATGTCAAGGGTATCGTCGTGTTGCTTTCTCAGCAGCTGCAGTGCTGGAGCCCCAAGAGGTTAAGGTTTTCCATGAAAGAAGAGCTAAGCTGGAATAAGCCGTGCAGTCTTCTGTACCGACTGATTGTTGTTGAATGTTTTTGATAAATGGATTGCAAGGCATGGATTGCGGCAGGGTTTGAGATGGCTACCTTTGCTGTCACCGCGAGGCTGCTCAAAGGGCTCTGGAGAAGTAAGAGTTTCAACAGTTGAGATTGAAGGTGGCAGACGGGCCACAAGCCATGGAGCTCTTTCTGGCATGTTGGCGCACATTACACTGGTCGAAGGAGGCTGCATGTATAGATCCCTATAAAACACGTTGTACAAAAATATGTACCAATAACAGAACCATGTCTTTCCCTGTGTTGTGTGCCAGCAGTATTGGATTCTGACTTCCAAGCCGATTCGTCTTGAGGGAGACGGGCATCCTTACAGCGAGCGACGCCACTGGGCCTTCAGTGACGATTGGGTTTGAATTTGGCCACGTAGAATCCTCGACCCTGGCAAACGTCAGGGGCATTGATTGGGATTGCTACGGTAAATTCGACGTCCGTACCTCTTTGTACAGCTGTTGCGTCCGTACAGACATGATCACGACAACGAGGACGTCGGCACGCTGCTATCAGCATGTGGCTTGCACATTGCTGCAAAAGTTGCATCAGAAAGACACTTCTATAATCTTCTATAAGGGACCCCCTGGGCAAACTTGCTTGTGGCATTCCTAGCGCCCCATACCTGAAGCTGACAGGGGTACACCCAAGGGCAGCATGGCCGAGCTGGCGGCAAAGATTCTGTGGCTAGCACAGATAAGCAAAGGGAGCAGCAGAATTTGCACTTCATACACGCACATGATCGCACATGTAATCACATATATATATATATATATTATATACAGAAGGGATTGTCATGGGGGGTGGGTTTTTAATTCATAGGTTTTTCAATCATTTTCTAGTTAAGGAACATGAAAAGCCTGCAGAGGATCAAAAAAAACAAGAAACAATTTTCTGAGACTTTCGACGAAAATAGAGAAGTCTGCAGAGGACCAAAAAAACCAAAAAAACCAAAAAAACCAATTTTCTGAGACTCCTAGGGAAATAAAGAAGTCTGCAGAGGACCAAAAAAACCAAAAAAACCAAAAAAACCAATTTTCTGAGACTCCTAGGGAAATA